TTTTTTTTTTTTTTAATGTGCATTTTAGCTATTGGGAGCTACAGCTATTGAAGACAAGCTACAGGATGGAGTCCCAGAAACCATCTCCAAACTTGCAAAAGCTGACATCAAGATCTGGGTGCTTACTGGAGACAAAAAGGGTAACTCACTGTGTAGGGAAGTGTATCTGTTAGCTCACAGATATCCATAGCTCCTGTTTCCCTCACCCAAGATGACCTTCTTAGACTTTTCATCCTGCACAAACGCTATCCATTTCTTTGAGAATAGACACGTTCCCTAAGAAACCTTTCTCTTACTCCAGCCCACCCTGCCTGCATCCTTCCCGAAACTCCCTCAATTATTCCTTATAATTGGGCTCCTGGTCGAGTCTTACTGTTTTATGATTAATCTTCTCTTCAGCCAGACATAGGCTGTGCTCCTGCAGGGCCATTCCTCTCGTCCCTTCTGTCCTTCCCAGCGCTTTGCCATTTGTTGGGCATAGGTTAGAATTCTGCAAAACACTGAATAGCAACTTTTGTTTTCTTGCCCATTTTATTGCTTGAAAGTTCTAATTAAAATTTTATGCCCAAGGGAAGATTTTTGTTTTTACATTTAGAGCTCAGTAGTGGTGCCTGGTGTTGATACTTTACTCCACAAGTGGCCCATGGGAAACCAGATAGTTTCTCTGGCTCTGACATCATCAGTGGGCTACATACTCTGATAAGCTAAGGGAAGTGCAGCCCTGACTGTAAACAAATACCAGTGGGTGGTGATGGAAAAATGGAAAAAAATCTCCAGGAGGAGCCCCATGTGAGGGATGATGGAAATGGTTACCCTTTCGCCCTCATAACAATGATTAAAACCACATGAACTTAATGTGTTAGCATTTCAGTGAACATTGATTTATTAAATAACCAGTTAATGTCTTTGATAATATAGCCCATTTTATTATTGAAAACATCTCGAACCAGACTTTGACTTAGGCTTATTTTATTGCAGTGAAAGGGATTTTTCTTCTTTATGTGATTTCTATACATTGCTACAGAAAAACAGCATATTTGATTGAATCTGGTTATTTTGTTAATTGAAAAATATCATTACCAGATAAAGTCAATTATTAAATTCATCAGTAGGAATGACATTCGACTTCATTTCTTTCTGTTACAGAAACTGCTGAAAATATAGGCTTTGCCTGTGAACTTCTGACTGAAGACACCACCATCTGCTACGGGGAAGACATAAAGTATGTAAGGGGCCTGCAGAATGAGAAGACGCAACACCTCATTTTTATAAAGACGAGACTAGGTCCAGTACACACAGCAAATTCAGAGAAGTGAGAGCTAGAGTGACACTTTGGTGTCCTCATGTTGAAGTGAAGCAAGAGAACAGGCAGCTCCAAGTTATGGTTGTATCACCGCCTTCTCTTGTCTGAGAACTGGGGGTCTTTATTTGCCCTTCCCGGTGCCGTTTTTCTCTCCTCCTTAGATGTCCCTAGTGCTTGTCTGCTGATAAAGGAAGTGGGCCTGTGACATCACTCACAAATTAATATGAATCATATTCATGTATTGTCTTTTCTAGGAATTTTTTTTTTAACTTTATTGGGGAACAGCCATGGTCATTGGTTACACGTTGCTTTCATGCTACAATGGCATAGTTGACTCTTTTAAGGAGGGCGCAGCTCACAGTAGCCCATGTGGGGATCAAACCAGCAACCTTGCTGTTATCAGCACCACACTCTAACCAACTGAGCTAACCGGTCACCCCTAGGAATTTTACCTTTTGAAAGGAAAAATAGAAGCAACCCCCCTACAATCCCTGGAAGGAAATGTTTGGGTGGGTTACAATCTGCAGTCTTGTCTAGACGGTGCGGGCTGGATACTTCCATGCTTAGCTTGCACTGAAACACGTGTTCACCCTAAGTCAGAGTTGCAGCAGACCTGGAAATGTGGAGGCAAAAAGGCCTGTCTTGTTATAAAGCAAAAATGTGTTGCTGCACAGTTACCTTGTTGGATTTGCTACTGGTTTGACCGTTCCTTTTATTCCTCAAAACATTCCCTTCTGGCCCATCCCGCTGGCGGTCACAAGGCCAAATTAAGTTGTTAACATACACACTTTCCTCTGCTGGTGAAATGATGAAGGAGTTGATGATTGTTATTAGTCTACTTTNGAGTTCAGTTTTAGTTGCGGGTGGGCGTAACCCACCATCAAACAGGCAATCTTGTTGTTACACCAGCCGAGCCATCCTGCCACCTGCTGGCAGCTCAGTGACAGCTCAGCTCGGGAACAGCGTCACTGGCCCATGTGGGAATTGAACCAGGGGCCCTGTTACTCAGAGCTCGTGCTCTTAAGCCAACTCTTAACCAACTAAGCCACTCGGCCAGCCCCTGTCTTTCTTTTATATGTGTTGTTTTTATAACTACTAAATTATAAACATGTATAGTATTGAGTAAGCTCAGTTAGTATCTGAGATGCATAGGGAGGGAAATTCCTCTTCAGAATACACTTACGTGTTGTATGTCTTCTAGATCTTTGTGGTTCTTAGCCTGCTTTCTGCTGGCCTTGCCATCGGCCACGCTTACTGGGAAGCTCAAGTTGGCAATTATTCTTGGTACCTCTATGATGGAGAAGACTCTACCCCCTCCTACCGTGGATTCCTAAATTTCTGGGGCTACATAATTGTTCTCAACACCATGGTGCCCATCTCACTCTATGTCAGGTAAGGCTGGCTACACTTTGGCCTTTTGTTTTAAGGGACAATCGCAGTACATTTTCACAACCGAACACCTCCCTTTCTAGCAGTAATTGTCTCAAAGGTCATAAGGAAGAAGTAAGCAAATAACTTTCATTTCAGAATTGGGGGTAATATCAGGGAAGGAAGTTAACATTGAGTGTCTGCTTGGTGCCAGGCACAGTCCCTTCTATCTCAGCTTCTTTACAGATAAGACTCCCGGAGTTCAGAGATCAAACACTACTCCTGTAGTCACTCGCTTGGTAAGATTCCTTCTCTGTGAGTTCCAAAGCCACTCAGAAAGATCCTGGGAGAAGGTGAAGATTTAGTTGTTTCCTTTTCAAGAGCCTTCCTAACCTCGTGTCTGCCTCCACCTTATTACCGTCTGTCACACCCATTCCTTTGAAAACTCACGGGGCTTCCTGGTCACTATCTCCCAATGGGACTGTCATTCTCCAGGCCCCCCTTCCACCTCTCGACATGTTCTGTTTCTCATCTCAATTTCAATCGCAACCACAATAAAAGAGTCCAGAGTCATGTCTCTGACAAATGCTAATTTCCTTGTTTCATAATATTTCTTCCTTTTTTTACTTTTTTTTCCCTTTTAATACCAAGGTCACTGTCACTGGTCAATTGGATTTTAGAACTTTGGGAGAGGGACTGTGCCTCGAAGCATACTCAGCAGCCAGGGTCTGCTCTTAGTTTCAGTAACTAATAGCCCCGAGGCATACAGGGTCACATACACACTTGTAATTAGAGGCATTTATTTTATTTTAATTTTATTACTTGTGCATTTATTTTCTTTCTAATTTTATTACATGTAGTGACTATTGTTCTTTCTGAACATGAAGTAAAGGCCTGGGGAGCCATCTGTTTGCAGTTGTTTTAAGAGAAACTGAAGACAAGTTTTACCTTTGTCAAGGGAACTTCCACAGAGATAATTTTTTCTGAAACTACACATGTATTTCTTAAACTGTATATGTAGTTTTGGGTTTAAAAAAAACTCATGTGACCAACATGATTTCTTTATTTCTCTTGGAAAATAAAGGTCCTTTTAAAGAATAAGTCAGATCAGGTCATTCCAGATAGCATCTCTGCTTTGTTTTCAATCCTACAGTAGCTTTCCATCTCATTCAGAATAAACGTATTGAGGCCACACTATAACCCACAAGGCCAAGCGTGATCTGGGGCCCTGCCCTGCCCTTCCCCCAACCGAAAACTCCTGCACCTCCCTGGGTTCCCGCCACTCTGGCCTCCTTGGTGCTTTCAGCAACGCCGTTGCCTGCCGCAGGGCCTTCGTACCTGCTCTTATCTCTGCCTGGGACAGTCTCGCCTCCATATCTACAGGGTTGCTCTTTTATTTCCTTCAGGGCTCTGCTCAAACACCACCTTACAACCTTGGCCTTTCCTGGCCCACTCTCTCTCCTTTTTTTTTATTAGTTTTAGATGTATAGAACAATGTAATAGACATTGACACCACTTACAAAGTGATAACTTTCCTCCCCCAATCTACTACCCCTCTGACATCGTATATAGCTATTACAATTCCATTGACTGTATTCCCTATGCTGTACTCCACATCCTGTGACTATATGTATATATATATATATATCACTCTATCTTAAATGTCACTTTCATTCCCGGATGGCCTCCATCTCTCCTTACTCTGCTTTGATTTTCTGTAGAGAATTTTCACGATTTGATATATATTTACTGGTTTATTTATTGGTCTGATTCCATCAGAAGGCAATCTCATAGAGAGTAGGGATTTTGCCTGTTTTATTTACCGATGTGTTCCCGGTGCCTAAAAATGGTGCCTGTCCCATAGTAGGCACTTAGGAAGTATTTATGGGAGGAGAGAAGGAGGGAGTTACCTTTCCATCTGCTTAACTTGTTATGTCATCCTTTGCCCACTTAATAGTTGCTGGATATGTAAATAGTTTCCTTATAACTGAGATATATTGAGTCACTTATAGTTTTAAAATTGAGATGATCTTCTTAGAATATTCTATAACCTTATAAGAATTTAGAAAAGTACTATGATTTTTTACAATGCGGAATCACGATTTAGGGGTTATTTGCTGAAAGCCCTTCCCTACTCAAAAGCACAAGGGGTCTGTAACCTAGTGGACCCTCACTCCCTTTGCCCTACCATGGGGCAGAGGTGAACATGGCCATTCCAGTTGTCCCCAGGTGTGATGGGGAAGGAGAGAAAAGAGAGTGGGGATTGCCACATCATGTGGTCCCTCTGCAGTGCTACCATGTTACCTGTCCCACTGGGCTGTGTTTTTATAATGGGGCCCCATCGCAATGGCTGAATGTGCTCAGGGGTGAGTGGGAAATTACATCGAGCAGGGTGCTTTGACCCTAAGGCTAGAGGAAAATATGTTTAGTTGGAAAAACCCAGAGGCTGGGCGCATGCATGGGCCACCGCCTGGCTTGTGTCTTTGTACATAAGCAGTTCGCTCCTCTAAGCACAAATGAGGATAAAATCCACTACCTGCCACTTATGTCTGAGAGCTTGACTGATAGTAATCTTTTGTCTTCCTAGTGTGGAAGTGATCCGTCTTGGACAGAGTTACTTCATCAACTGGGACCTGCAGATGTACTACCCTGAGAAGGACACACCCGCAAAGGCCAGAACCACCACGCTGAATGAGCAGCTTGGGCAGATCCATTACATTTTCTCTGATAAGACGGGGACACTCACACAAAATATCATGACCTTTAAAAAGTGCTGTATCAACGGGCAAGTATATGGTGAGTGGAAGCCATTATTCAGTGTCGGGGCATTTGTGCCCAGAGCCTGCCTTCCCAGGGTTACTAGTGCTACTCCCAGTACCAAGCTCTGTGGCCATTGTGGGGGGCTGAGTTCTGAAGCAGTGTCACTGGCGACAGTCCTCAAAAAATTAAACTTAACATTACCATGTGATCCAGCAATCCCACTTCTGGGTGTATACCCCAAAAAACTGAAAGTGGGGACTCAAAGAAATATCTGCACCCCCACATTCACAGGCACATAATCTCTAATAGCTAAAGTGTGGGATCAGTCCAAGTGTCCATTGATGGATGGAAGGATAAAGAAAATGTGCTATGTATACACAAGGGAAGACTATTCAGTCATAAAAAGGAAGGAAATTCTGGGATGGATGAAAATTCTGGAAATTCTACAACATGGAAGAACCTTGAGGACATTATATTAAGTGAAACAAGCTATCCACAAAAGCACAGATACTCTTTGATTCTCTTATGTGAGGTATCTAAAACAGTCACATTTATAGAGGCAGAAAGGAGAATGATGGTTGCCAGGGGGTAGGGACAGGGAGCAATGGGGAGTTACCGAGTTTTAGTTTTACCAGGTGAAGAGCTAGCTGTGCAGATGGATGGTGGTGATGGCTGCACAACAGTGTGATTGCCACTTAATGCCACTGAACTAACTGTACACTTAAAAATGGTTAAGATGGTATATTTTATGTTACGTGTATTTTACCACAACTATTTTTTAAGTTGATTTCCCTTCTAATATTCTGTAACGTGCTGTATATTTATAAAAATATTAAGGTTAATGCTGTGTTCAATTAGAGTGCTCTAATTTTTAAACAAAGACTTAATGTAAGTTTTTAAAACCATAAGAACACCCTATGCCTTCCACTGGTCAAAAACTTTAAACTGTTTTCACATAAGAAGCATGTGTGAGGAAGATGGGACACTGAGATTTGAGGAAGTGGTTCCCCTGTGCATGGTGGCTGTGCCTTCTGAGCTGGGGGAGGTAAAGCACCTCCAAGGACATGATTCTGGCCCCAGAGGAGATTGCAGTGTAGAGGGACATATATTTGAACCTCTAGACTAGGAGTCAGCAAACAGTTTTATAATTTTTTTTTAACTTTACTGGGGGACAGTGTATTTTTCCCAGGACCCATCAGCTCCAAGTCAAGTTGTTATCCTTCAATCTAGTTGCAGAAGGCGCAGCTCAGCTCCAAGTCCAGTCGCCATTTTTCAATCTAGTTGCAGGGGGTGCAGCCCACCCTCCCATGCAGGAGTTGAACCGGCAACCTTGTTGTTAAGAGCACGCGCTCTAACCAACTGAGCCATCTGACTGTCCAACAGTATCTTGGCAACACCTCAGCTCAAGTCGTTGTCTTCAATCTAGTTGCAGAGGGCACAGCTCACTGGCCCATGTGGGAATCGAACTGGCAACCCTGTTGCTCAGAGCTCATGCTCTAACCAACTGAGCCACCCAGCTGCCCCAGCAAATTTTTTCTGTAAAAAGTCAGATAGGAAATACCTTAGCCTTTGCAGGCCACATAGGGACTGTATCAAATAGTCTTCATTGTTGTATTTTTTGCTTGTTTGTTTTACAATTTTGGGAAAGGGTAAAAACCATTCTTAACTCGAGGGCTGTCCAGAAACAGGCTGTGCGACCACCAACACAGACCCAAAACAAGATGAAGAGAGGCCTCTGGACACAGGTGGAGACTCAACTTGTTTTGTTCTGTTTCTTTCTCAGGAGACCATCGGGATGCTTCTCAGCACAATCATAGCAAAATAGAGGTGAGTCCACTAATGTAAGGCATTGTTGGGGGTGGGATGCGTATTAGTTTCCTCAGGCTGCTAATATAACGAATTACCACAAATTGGGTAGCTTAAAACAACAGAAATATATTCTCTCACAGCCCTGGAGGCCAGAAGTCTAAAATCAAAGTTGTCAGCAGGGCCGTGCTCCCTCTGAAGGTTCTCGGGAGGATCCTTCCTTGTCCCTTCCTAGCTTCCGGTGGTTGCATGCGGTCCTTGGTGTTCCTTAGCTTATAGATGCAACACTCAAATGTCTGCCTCTGTTGTCATATGGTGTTCTCCTTGTGTGTCTGTGTCCAAATTTCTCTACTTTTATAAAGGTCGTTGGATTAGGACCCACTCCAATCCAGTATAACCTCATCTCAACTTGATTACATCTGCAAAGACCTTATTTCCAAATAAGGTCACTCTCAGGCACCAGGGGTTAGGACTTCAACAGGGTGTCTTTTTGTCTTAAGACGTGTGTGTGTGTGTGTGTGTGTGTGTGTGTGTGTGTGTGTGTGTGTGCGCGCGCCTTTTGACAGTTAAGAATATGTTAAAATCCTACAGTGGTTTTTGGATAAAGTCTCGGCTTCAAAGAAAAGTTCATATCATTTGCTAAGTTTTTTTTATAACCACATTGTCTTTTCCTTTTCCACTTCTTTTAGGAAGTTGATTTTAGCTGGAATATATATGCTGATGGGAAGTTTGCATTTTATGACCATTATCTCATCGAGCAAATCCAGTCAGGGAAAGAGCCGGAAGTGCGACAGTTCTTCTTCCTGCTTGCAGCTTGTCACACAGTCATGGTGGACAGAATTGATGGTGAGTGTCCTTCTCGCACCTCAGACATTGGAGACCAATTTTTTAGTGTGCAGGTAACTTGTGCCTGGGACTCAAATGGCTATAAAGGAGTATGCAGGACAGTTTGTCTCACTTTCACTCACGCAATGAATACTTGTGAGTACCTGCCACTAAGGAGATGGGGTAACAAAGCACGAAACAAGGCCTTGGCATCTGAAAATTTGCATCATCTTCACAGCTGTAGCTCCAGGCATGTTTATCACTCCGTAAATGAAATCTTATCACTAAAAGAAATGGTTAACTCTTGAATTATAATAGGAGACTCAAAATCTTCCCACTGTATTATTACTTAATGTTTATTGAGAGTGAAGAGTCAAAACTTATCTGGACCATAAGTGGAGTTTAAACTTGGTCCATCTTTTCTATAAGATAATTTCAGAGATAAACTTTTATTTCCTGGATTCAGATATGTCTAGGGTTTGAAATANATAATATAGTTTAGTTGTTCCAAAACACTCTCTGGAAATACATGTGAACTATAAAATGTTCTGTACATTATTTCCACTTGGGGAAAATAATCTAAGATAAAACACCAAATTTTGGAAAGGTAATCTGTACAAAGATTGTACCACAACATTTTAATTGTTTTTTAAAAATGGAAATAACCCAAAAACCTAAGAATATCCAATTAGCTAATGAAATTATGATTCTTACATGATAGAATTCTTGAACTCAAAAGTGGGCTACATCATTGAAGATATGTACGCAGAGCAATAAGTAAACTTATAAAAAACAAAGTAAAATATATGACAAATTGACAAATGCTAGAATGAATCTGAGCTGATAAATATCAAATATTATAAATATCATGAATTGGAATTTATGAACTTATTTTGAATAGAGTAGCTTGGATTCACAATAGGAAAAAAATCCCCATAAACTTGTTTCCCTGTAAAAGATTAGTTTTGTTTTGTTTTGGTTTGGTTTTTACGACCAGTTGTTGGGTTGAATGTAAAAGAAAGTTGCTATGGTAACCCTTTTCTTCTTGGATTGAGCTCATTTTTTTTTTTTTTATGATTGTGTTTTTCTTTACTGACTCTGTTTTACAATTTTAGTACCCAGTGACTTAGACTATTCACATTGGGTGTGGTTTTTAAACCCATACACATTTAGTGGTCTAAAACCAACATTTAAAAAATAAAGACCATTTTTGGGCCAGCCGAGTGGCTCAGTTGGTTAAGAGTTGGCTTAAGAGCGCAAGTTCTGAGCAACAGGGACCCCGGTTCGATTCCCACATGGGCCAGTGACACTGTGCCCAAGCTGAGCTGCCGCTGAGCTGCCAACAGGTAGCAGGATGGCTCAGCTGGTGTAACAAGACTGCCTGTTCGACGGTGGGCTACACCTACCTGCAACTAAGACTGAACTTGGCATCTTAAGCTNAGCAGAATTCAAATTGGGGTAGATTCATGGAAAGGGCTGATAGCTGACAAACTGGAGAAGATAGAAAGGGGTGATGACCGAAGCAGAGGTTAAAGTCTGTTTGATTCACCAAGCACATTTTACTCATGCAATAAGGAACAAGGATGATTTTTTTTTAAAGCATCTTGGTCCTCTTAGGTTTTGAGTTATTAGTAAAATGATTCTACTTTTTTTTTCTCTGTTTTTGAATATATGGAGGTGTCATTTTTAGAGCTAACCAGCCAACTTAGGCAAATATGCATTAATCTTATAGTCTCTATTTTCTTCTTTCTCCACTGGGATATTATGGGAAGAGCCCTGGACTGTGTCCTGGAGATGGGCTATCCCAGTTTGGGTTCCTCTCATAACACACAGTGCAGACCAGGGTACCTGTCTGAGCACCAGCTTCCTCTGTGTTGCAGGAGGAAGGTTGGAGTTCAAAGTCTCTTCCCGTCTGACGTCTGACGTTGCTCAGCTCTTTGTAAGTGCAGGAGGTTAAAAGAATAATTGGTTTGATTTTGATACAAAAAGTACCTTGAAAGTTTCCCTTGGAAGGAACCTTTGGAACCACTCCTCCAAATTGTATAGTTATGGAAATTTAGACCCAGAAAGGACAAGAAATTGCCTAAGCAGTTAAAACGCATCATTCTACCATGCTGATGTGCCTTTGCTTTTCTGCTCTCATTGTCTCCTTTTTTTAAGAATAATGGAGATTGGTTAGCCTTTTACTATGTATAACATCAACAAGAGAGAGGAGGAAACTCTTATATGTTGCCAACACATCTGACTAGTTCAACAGATGGTTTGTGTGGCCTGAGTGTTGGCTACACGTGGGGCACAAAGGGAGTGAGGTATGGAGAGGCTGCATTGGTTTTTTATGCTCTGTTACCAGTTACCACAACTCAGTGGCTGAAAACACACATTCATTAGCTCACAGTTCTTTAGATCAGAAACCTGTCCACGGCATGACTGGATTCTCTGCTCAGGATCTTGTTAAAATCAAGGTTAGGCCATGTTCTCATCTGGAGCTCAGCGTCCTCTTCCATGCTGCATGTGACAGGCGATTGCTCTAAGCACACTGAGAATGGAGACAAGTTAGATTTACAGATGTAGGACGTTAACAGAGTTGTGGTTGTGGCAGAATTCGGTTCTCTGTGGTTGCAGGACTGAGGTCTCCATTTCCTTGCTGGCTGTCAGCTGGGGCTGCTGTCTGCTCCTAGAGGCCTTTCTCTCTCCTTGCCACATGATTCCCTCCATCTTCAAAGCCAGCAGGGGAGAATCTCCCTCCCATCAAACCTCTTTCATGCATCGAATCTCTCTCACTAGGAAGAGCCCTTTCACTTTTTAATGATTGACCTAACTAGTTGGGAATACCCAGAGGAATTCTGACGGTCAACTGATTTGGATCTTAATGACACCGGCAAAATCCCTTCCTGACAGTACCTAGATTAATGTTTGCTTGAATAACTGGAAGAAGGTGTGTGTGTACCAGGGGAGTGGGAACCTTGGGGCCATTTTAGACTCCTGCCTCCCTCAGAGGCCACGTGAGAGCAGAGGAGGCCTTCTCTTTACCTAGGTCTTTAAGTTGGGATGATTAGAGAGCCGTGTTTTAGGAGGTTGGAGCAGGGAGACATGGGCAGTTGGTGCAGAAACTGAGGGCCTAGATTGAGGGGTGGGGGGGGTCTTTGGGAAGGATGAGAAAGCCATGAATGTGGGGGACATTCAGCAAGTGATTTGAAGGGGAGAGATGATTGAGGGGGAAGAGTTGTCTGAAAGCTGACTTGTTTCAAAGCTGGTGACTAGAAGACGGGGAATGCTGTTATCAGCCACAGGAAGCTACGGAATCGGAATAATGAGATAGGGGATGTGTGGGTGGGGCATCTTTTTTTATTTGCATCAGTTTCAGGAACCATGAATTAGTCCATAGAAGAAAAGAAGTCCTCTCTGGTTGCCTCTAAGTGTGCAGTAAATAGCTTTCTTTCAGAAATGGTTTCAGAGGACCATTTTATAATCTAGGNAGGAGTTATTTTACAGAGTTCCAGTTTTTGAAAGATGAACAAATTCTGGAGATTGGTTATACAAGTGTGAATATAGTTAATAGTACTGAACTGTATACTTAGAAATAAAGATGGAAAATTTTATGTTGTGTTTTTACCACAATTTTAAAAAGAGATTCATTGTCAAAATTTTCTCACAGTCCACGGCCTGTTCATGGCCTTTTCCTTTAAACAGTTAAATTTCTTTTCTTCCAGTGCTCTTCTTAACACAAGGATGGAAAACCAGAGGAATAGAAGCGGAGTCTATGCAAAATTTGCACCCCCTGCACACGAACCCTTTTTTCCATCTGGCGAAAACCGGGCCTTAATAATCACCGGTTCTTGGTTGGTACGTATCATCAGTGTAGGTGCCTTTGTCTCAAACTAAAGCAGTTCCTTATGGGCCAATTTTATATGGTATTCCATATTAACTGCCAACCTAAAAATCTCTTAGCCTATAAATGAAAGTTCAATTTCCCAAGTTTATAGACTTAACATTATATGATATATGAAAGGAATTATACCAGACTGGTAACAGTGATTGCACCTGGTTTATCAGTGAATGGATATTTTAAATTTTCTTCTTTGTACATTTTTGTATTTTCTACATTTTTAGAGTAAATATGTTTTCCCATCAATGATCTAACCCAAGAATTATCCTTCACATCATCACAATCTTGGGAACGGTACTCTTGATATAAAAACTAAAATGGGTGTAATCCTTTCCCTCTCTGATTTCACAGAATGAAATTCTCCTCGAGAAAAAGACCAAGACAGGTAACATTCTAAAGCTGAAGTTCCCAAGGACAGAAGAGGAAAGACGAATTCGAACGCAAAGCAAAAGGAGGCTGGAAGCTAGAAAAGAACAGCGGCAGAAGAACTTCGTTGACCTGGCATGCGAGTGCAGTGCAGTCATCTGCTGCCGGGTCACCCCCAAGCAGAAGGCCATGGTGGTGGACCTGGTGAAGAGGTACAAGAAAGCCATCACGCTGGCCATTGGAGACGGGGCCAATGATGTAAACATGATCAAAAGTAAGTCTTGCACAGGCAGCCAATGCAACTTGAATTGCTCGAGAAGAAATGGCAGGAATGTTTCTGAGGGTAGCTGTTTCAGATTTCATTGCTTAGGCTTTCATAAAGCAGATGTTTAATAAAGGCACTCCACCATGATGACCACACCTGGGACCCAGCCCTCAAAAAACTTATAGTGAACCCAGTAGGAGACAGCAGGCATTACAGTGCTACTCACAGAATGCCAAGTTGAAGACGAGTTCCATATGGGCAAATGTATCCTTGTTTCCTTCTTTTACATGTGTTTTTACATGTTCTTTGACACTTGGTTCCCCCCCCCTCACCCTTCTGCTTCTCCTCCTGTATTTCTTTAATAAGTTTTGTTTAAAAATCTGCTGAGCTCCGTATACACTGTTGAACTCTCTCTGGTATTTGTTTTGAGACTGTTATTTTCCCTCCCCTAAGCTTTCTTTTCTGGGGCTTTCTTCATGCCTAATAGGTAAATCTATTAGAACTTCACCACTGGGAGACCTGGAGTGAGCTCAGAGGAACACATCTGGCATTGAAGCCAACTTCCAACATAGTCTCATTGTCCTGACCTCCCTAGAGACTTCCAAAGTTCCTTTTGCTGGTTGGAGGACTGTAGGTCCCCACAAATTAAAGGATTTAGTCCCAGCATACAGAAAAACAGTTGTACCTGGTATCAAAGCAAGTGGAACCAAACCCTCATCAACATGTCTCAATCCTGATCCTTTTCTATTCCTTATATAAGAAACATGTTGTAATGAAAATGCCCAAACCAGGGAGACATGACTACTTGTCCTTGTCCTACTGCCAATATGCTGGTTCCACTTGGGCTTATGATCATCTCAAAACAAGAAAATTATCTCCGAGGTCACCTCCAGATTTGTGATAGTAAGATGAACTGTTACGTGACTACACATGTATATGTATGTCCTGTTGCACTGGGTAACTCAGGGCATTATGTATAATATAACTAGATTTTTAGTTCAGCCTATTTTGTAACTCACACATCTATCTTTCTTTTCTTAGAGTCTCTTCTCCTCCTTCTTGGTATATACTAAGAATATTCCAACTTTATCTTCCTCAACAGGACTCCGCTGTATGATGATGTACGTCTCCTTGCTTCTTTATCACGTGTGTCTGTAGCCACTGGCAGTTTAATTCCACTCCCTGTGTTGTGCATGTGCTCATCCTACCACGCAAATAACATTTCTTGCTCTGAATTTGATTTCTTTGTAGCCAGCTCTAGCTTACTTTCCATTATATACCCGTAGCACTAGCTGTGCCAAAAGGACAAGGAACTGAAACATTTTTATTGTTAAAATGTAGACTCTAGTAGTTTGGGGGGATTACCTGGCAAATTTACCATCTGGTTATATGACTTAGACTTGAAAATTGTTTTATTCCTCTGAGTTCTCCAATTTAGAGTGAAAGGAATCACAAACAGTTGACATAGGTACCTTATGGAGAGACTTGTTTTGCTTAAGTTGTCTTAAGAATTTTATTAAGCTCTGTCATATAGATGGTGCTTTTATATATAATCTATAGAGCATCCATTTGGGACAAAAATCAAGGAAACACTGAGGTCTCCTTGGAAGTCAGTAGCTTTATCCAAGTATTGTTAGTGCCTTTTTGTACTTTGTAAAAAGCGTCATCTTTTTCAACTGCATCAAGAACAAACAGTATACAGAAAAAAAACCTGTTGTTTATAAAGAAGTAGAGTGAAATGTAAATGTCAAGAAAATTCTGACCATTTGCTGACCAAGTGTCATGGTTAGCAGTACAGTCCAGGAGAAGTGGGGGGAATTGCAACCCACCATATTTTTGCCCCTAGCAAGGACCCAAGGACTCTCCCTCTTTTGTGTCTAAAGATGTCTACTGGCTGGTGGGTGTTGTTTTTTCTGGTCTAAGACTCTGAACAAGCAGCATGAGGGAAATGAGGTAGAGGCAGAAAAGCTTGAGGAAATGATTGGGTCGTTAAGGAATTACGAAGGAGCCTGCTGGTGAGGCATTTAAAACCACATTTGGAACTTCAGGAAAACTAGGTGCCTATATTTAGATTTTAGGAAAAAAGAAATCAGTGTGGCCTTATGAAGTACATCTGTTCATTGCCTGGAATCACCGTGAGTCATTTCCCACACTGTCCTGGGTCTGCTCAGCAAAGGGTGGACTGGATGCCAGGGCCTGCGGCAGGCGCCCCCCCTTCCTCAGTTCCAACGCAATCTCAACATTTCCCTCTGCTGCTTGTTCAGGAAAGACGGCCTTGGTTTGGTAGAAAAGAGCAGTTTGGCAACCATAACTAGTCATAAGAGCTATTTGTGTGTTTTGAAAGAGGTCATAAATATTGAACGAGATGCAATTCTATTGTTTAGAATTACAAAGTGTTATTGAAAACTTAGGTTTGGACAGGTCACTACATTTTGAATTTGCCAGACCTTGTGTTTTGCAAATGGGGTGGGATTTTTGGAGCCACTGTTAGTTGGAAGCTCTGCTGAGCTGGCAGTCACTTCTCAGGGTCTGAGTAATAGGATGTGTTCTCCAAACATATGTTCACTAAATGATCTCACTCTGTGTCTTCACTTTCATGACTTCTAAGACCTAGATAAAATTTGTAATTCTCTAAGCTGAATGTGATTTAATGGCTTTTGGGAGCATGGATAAGATGGTGACTCGTTTTTATCCATTCTGGAAACTTTCTCCCATGCCAAAAAATATATATATATATGTATTAAGACCATGTTGGGCCATGAATAAGCCTTTGCAATTTTAATAGTGTCTTAGTTAAAACTCTTTTATTATATATGTTGGAGAATAACTAAAGTTAGCTTAAGACAAAAATAAATTTATTTAAAAGATGTCTCATGCTGCCCAAGAAATGAGGCTTCAAAGGATACTAGAACCAGGACCTAGAGCTGCAACAGAATCCCAGCATCTGTCTGTCTGTTTGTCTCCCTCTCTCTAGATTATTTCTCTGCCCTTTAAAAAGAAATATATTCCTCAGAAAGAAATATATCCATCCCATACCTCAAGAATTTATGTTAAAGTTCCAAACACAAACACAACTAAATCCTAATTCCAAATGCCAAGCGAAAGACTGATTGGCCTAGCTTGGGTTTTCTATCAGTCAGAGCACAGGACAGGAATCAGACGCCTCGAGGTACTTTTAAGCAGGAAATGATTAATACAGGGGACTGGACACTCATAAAAGCTCTGGTTGGACTGCAGAAGCAGAGTCTAGGCTGAAAGTCTAACATCTCGATCACTCACTAGAAAAGATTCTAGCTTTGAGGGTCTTTGGAAGAGCTTTTCACTTGAGAAGCCTTTGCAGATGTCTGCTAACCTCTGGCAGCTGGAGAATGGCATTTCTGCAACAGAAATGCCAAAAAGGGAAGTGATGCTGGACTTCAGTTCACTCCCGCTTCCAAGAGTGGATCACAACAGTGGAACTTAATTCACAAAGAGAACCTAGCTGCAAGGGAATATGGGCAATGCAGGGTTTTTATTTGCAGTCCCACCTCTCCAATTAGAGCAGGGTGGAATGAAGGTTGAGAGAACCAGTTCATAGTCTCTACCATCGATTACATATCTGCCCATGGCTGACTCAGTGTGGCCAGGGAGACTTGGACACACTAGTACACCTGGGTGCCTGGGGCTTACCCTGTGGGTGGGTAAGATGGCTTATGAGCTGGCCAGATAATCTGAATGGAATTCCCCACCCACCTAAGATCTTTTCACAAATATTTATGGTGGACCAACCACGTGACCTGGTTAGCAACTTTACCTCTGACTTCGAGTTGAATTCAGGAGCTGCAGTAGGGGATGGTGAGCAAGAGAGTTTTCTTTATTGATTGCTCCATGAATGTCTGTTTTTTTGTTTTGCTATGCAAAGACTTTTATCATCTCAATGTGCTACCTTAAAATAGGCTTATGATTCACAGTATCTTCTCCCTCTGCCCCATAGCTGCCCACATTGGTGTTGGAATAAGTGGACAAGAAGGCATGCAAGCCGTCATGTCAAGTGACTACTCCTTTGCTCAGTTCAGATACCTGCAGAGGCTGCTGTTGGTGCATGGCCGGTGGTCTTATATAAGGATGTGCAAGTTCCTACGATACTTCTTTTATAAAAACTTTGCATTTACTCTGGTTCATTTCTGGTACTCCTTCTTCAATGGGTACTCTGCACAGGTAATAAAACATCATCATCATCATTTATTTTATGTGCAGTTTTGAAGTTCTGTCTCTTAATTGCTGAGGCAGAGATTAAGATTATGGATTACTGTTCTGAAATGTTTCCGGTGCTTTAAAAAGGTGGAGTTTTTTTTCCTGGTCTGTTGGGCTTTTGTTTGTGTCTTTGCCTTCACCTTAGATTTTCTTCTAAGTCACCTTGCCATAAAGAATAGTGAGAAGAAATTGTTCAACTTTGAAGGTATAAAATTATATTGTGACCAAGGCTAAAGGCATACTATAAATTTTAGGTAATCATAGATCTATTAGCATGTCTCCATTTGTTTTGGGGTTTTAGTTTTTGCTGAAACAGGCATAGTGGACATATGTGTTAAAAATGTTGACACAGCAGAAAAATGTCATTAGAAAAAATGAACCTAAGTCAGTGTCGGTGGTTGTCCAAACCTCTTTGATGCTATGCCACAGACAAATAGTTATCAGAGGAGCCTCAGATACGGGGCCAGGAGCAAGCAACCTTGAGCAGAGCTGGGGCCTTCTTCCAGTTTCCATGCAGGAGTGCATATAACTGCCGGTGCCAAGTAAGCCCATTCCCTCGATCCCACCCTGAGGATGGCTGTGTGCACAGCCTGACTTATGCCTTTCAGAAGCACAGGTCTTATATATGGTCAAATTCTGTCTTACAAAATGTTTGAATGGAAATACTGGACTTGCCAGATAGAAGAAAACATAATGGTACTTATGTGCTTTTGGACCAGTTGCATGTATTCTAATTCATTAATTAAGGGACATAAAAAGATGAACACTGTCTCAATTTCCAGCTTTATTCAAATAGAAGACTTTTTCTAAAAACTTTTCGGGGTACACCCCCCACTTATTTAAGGGGAGATTTCGTTTCGGCGGAACCGTCTTTGATTCTGGCCATGACATAGAAACAAACCCATGCCTTCTGCAGGCGTACGTGAGGGATGTTTACTCTGGCAGGAAATGTCTCTACTCAGCCTGGGGACATCCCTGCTTTGAGAGCAGATGAATGCATGCCAACTAGGCTGGCGATGTTTCTTGGTTGGTGACACAGCGACTCTGTCATCTCCCCACAGATTGCGTATGAAGACTGGTTCATCACGCTGTACAACGTGCTGTATTCCAGCCTGCCTGTGTTGCTTATGGGGCTGCTCGACCAGGTAGGAGTCCTGTGCTGACAGGGACACTCTGGACAGACTGAGCACCTCGTAGAGTTCAAAGCAAATATTTAAATGCATTCCTCTGCTTTTCACTTCGTCTGAGTGAGTCTTTTTATAGGTCTGTTGTCTAGCAACAAGAGTAAGTGCTGTGCTTGTTTTGTAGTAACAGGATTTCTGTGCCTGGGTTGAATTCATTGACAAAAGTTTACAATATAATCTTCCTTCTAGACACTAAGATTTTTGATAAGACACTTGACAGTATAGTATGTCTCTATAATTATAACTCACTCATTTTAAAAGTAAATTATTTTAACACTTTCTAAAACTTAGGTGTTTAATTCCCAAATTAGTCCACATTCTATCTAGCAGTAATTCTGAGAAGGTGCTTCCATGCATATAAAGAATAACTTGGAATTAACTCATCAACTTGTATGTGAACATACTCTCCCAAAGAATTAGAAACAATAGATTCTCTGAGGTAAAAAGAGCCTCCCTACATTTTTTGACATAATTTATTTGCTTTCTCTCCATAAATAGCAAAATAATACACTTCTCCCTAATCCCATTCCAATTAAATATCAAATAACAGTGGACTAAAGTAATGAGGTTGATCTCTGTCCCGGACTTACCTTGTTTGGCTTTTCCTTCCCTACAACTTACCAAGTTGAAACTTTTTGTGACATATAAGTTGTAACATTTCTCCGAGTTCTTTGATTCCTGGTGAACGGTACACAAACTCTCACTGTGTTTTCCCCTTAAGGATGTGAGTGACAAACTGAGCCTGCGATTCCCTGGGTTATATGTAGTGGGACAAAGGGACTTACTGTTCAACTATAAGAGATTCTTCGTGAGCTTGCTGCATGGGGTCTTAACGTCGATGATCCTCTTCTTCATACCGCTCGGCGCTTACCTACAAACCATGGGACAAGATGGAGAAGCGCCGTCAGACTACCAGTCTTTTGCTGTCACAATTGCCTCTGCTCTCGTGATAACAGTCAATTTCCAGGTACGTGGTTTTAGTCACCTGTTTTCAGTATCTGTTGGTACCTGTATTTCTGTACATAAGCCAGCGTGCACATCCACCTGGCGCCCCCTCGCCCTCCAACTGAGCCTCTGCCACTTTACAAAATATGAGTGCTCTTTTTACCCCTTAAAACTAAGCACATTCCCTACTTATTGCCTGAGCCAAGGAGTTTCTGATTGCTCAGTATTCAAGCCAAATCATACCTAAATTGCTGAATTCTATTTCCAGAATCCTTAGATCCTTTTATTTCTTGCTAACTCCCCAAAGTGAGTGCTCTGTTTTTCTCTGGTTTCCCAACAGATTGGCTTGGATACTTCTTATTGGACTTTTGTGAATGCTTTTTCAATTTTTGGAAGCATTGCACTATATTTTGGCATCATGTTTGACTTTCATAGTGCTGGAATACATGTTCTCTTTCCATCTGCATTTCAGTTTACAGGTTAGTATCTTCTAAATTCCAAAAAAAGATACAGAAAAATATTAGAGCCTGATATAACTTCTGGGTAAGTAAAAAACACAAACTGTAAATTATTGCTAGTGAATGTTAATGTCCTGAGTGGAAACTGAATGGTGGTGATGAGTTGGAAAGGTGGTACCATGATGGGAGGAAAGCAAATTAAAATAAACTTAAGATATAATTGTGCATCTGTCAAGTTAGATAAAAGCTGCCCTCCTCCCCCCCGCCCCNTACATAGATTGGTGCCGTGTCCTTCCTTTCCAGCATATCACATCAGAAGGCATATGATTATCGGTGATGTTAGCTTTTGATCGCTCAGTGGGGTGGTGTCCACAAGATTTCTCCACTAAGAGGCTGAATTTTTAACCGGTAAAATACATAGTGTTAACTGTCTACTGCAGTCTGATGAGGCCCATTTTGCTAAGTGGCTTCTGTGTGCCTAGCATTTATCTAGGCTGATTGATTAACATGCCTTGCTTCTACCTTGGGGAACTTAAAACTCTACTCAGCTGTGAGGCACATACTACAGTTAAATTATGCACAGATCAAAAAATCTAAGTAAATGGTCACAATGGCCTGAGTATTAAAGGCTGTTAGTGTTATGGGTTTGTAGGTAAGACAGAGTCCTATTGGTTGGCATGGACAAAGAAGGCTCTATGGAAGAAACTACCATAACTGGCACAGGGCATGGAACATAACAGGGAGTCAGGAAGTACTGATTTGAAAGAATAAGTAGGGACATGGAAAACTGAAGGAATCTTATTTTTTTCACTATAACATTCTATATAAATAGTGGCTTACCAACGTTGTTGAGAGCAACATTTTTGTAGGTGCATTGATGATTTTAAATTAATGGTGAATTATTTGCACAGTAACACTTCAGGTTAACTTTAGCAGTGTAGTTTTCTATTAAGAAATAAAACCTGGGACCAGCCGAGTGGAACATTCATGAGGAGTTGGCTTGGAACGCCAGCTCTGAGCAGCAGGACCCCGGTTCGGATCTCACATATGAGGGCCGGTGACACTGCGCCCTCTACAGCTAAGATGGTGAATAACATCTCGACCTGGAGCTGCGCTGCCGTGAGTCGCCGGCGACGGCGTAGGCTGCAGTGGGGCTGGTCGGCAGCTGGTGTGAGCTTTCGTTAGCTGCCGTGAGCGGCCATCCAATGGCCGGTGAGCGACTGCCTCCCCCGGGAAGAGTGCAATGATAATACCAACATGGGTCAGTGAAGCGACGTCCTCCACAACTAGACTGACAAACAAAAGGACAGCAACTTGTCTGTTCTCCTTCCCTGATTCCCCAAAGCTATTCCCCAATAAAATCTTAAAAAAAGAAATCAAACCTAACTTTATTATTTGCTTTTCCTTCCCTTGCTACTAGTAAGAACCCCAGAAGGCAATATCAGGCTCTATTGTAAAGGTGCTGACACAGTAATATATGAACGGCTACATCGAACGAGTCCTATAAAACAAGAGACGCAGGATGCCCTGGATGTAAGTCTCACTTTCACTCTTTATGCTACAAATTCCAAACTTACTGTCTGGTACTATTTCTTAAGCTTGAGAGAAAGCTGTACGTTAACTGCTGATCCTTCGTCTTGGTCTTTTTGAGTGGAAAGGCCACCAAAGTAGGAAAATGGCAGGCTGGTTCCTCTTCTGTCCCTGCCCCTGACTTCCTAGAAGATGACCAGGGTGCCCTTTCCCGGCATCCAGGTTGGCAGAATCTGCAGGATGGGCCTGGGGAATGACTGGTCTCTCTGTCAGTGACCTTGAGCAAACTACATAATCATACTGAGCTGTAGTCTTAACATCTGTGTNGCCCTGGCTTGAGTTTTAAAATTAAATAGTATATATGATTACCTGATTGCATTATAGACTTGAATTATTACTTCCTCAGACATAAACTACAAGCTGGTTTGCAGTGGAAAACGCCTGGTTCTTGTCAGATGGATATGGGTCTTAAAACTCAGGAGCTGCCATAGCTAGTTCTCTTACCTTGGACCAATGACTCCTTCACAACCCAATTTCCTTACATGGTAAAGAGGGTAATACTCCTCTCTCAGAACCGATTACGTGGCACGACCTGTATGAAACACCTAGCACATGGCCTATCACACAAATGGCAATGCCAGTTAATATTTCAAGTTTCAAACCAAAACTATAAATTGGAAAGTGCTTTTTTTTAAGTGCCCCCCAAAATTCAGAAGTATAGATTGCCTAATTTTGCATTTTTAATCAATGCAATGTCAACAAATGCACTTTTTTTTTTCTTATTTGTTCGCTTCTGTATTGGGTTGTCGGAAAAGTCATGACGTATTTTTTTTCTGTTTTTCGTTGCAAAAATGCATTATGACTTTTCCGACAACCCAAGACATTTTCCTGGTTCCAAAGAATTTACCTTCCAAAATTTGTTTTGCTTAATCCAATTTTAAAATGTTCTTTTCTTGAGCAGTGAATGGGATGCTTGGGGAGGACAATCTAGCTGTAAAACTTTACCACAGAGAATCCATTTATGGATTATGGAATAGGAACTATGCCCTCTGGATGAAAGGACCCCTATGATTCATTCTCCTTGTTTCTTTCAGGCACAGCACCAAATGCTCTAAGACAGCCATACATTTGGTTGACCATCATTTTGACCGTTGCAGTGTGCTTACTGCCTGTCGTTGCCATCCGTTTCTTGTCAATGACCATTTGGCCATCAGAAAGCGATAAGGTATAGAAAAAACAGTTCCTCTCCTAACTCTGGGTGCCCCTCACAGAAATCAAAAAAAGTATTTCCCACAAGCAGCTTTCCTGCAAAATCTAAGCTCTTGGGGAGTTTGGTATGAACATTTATGACTACTTTAATTCCATCGTACAAATAAGTCCTTTGGGATTGTCATTTTTGTTTGCTTGCTTTTTATTACAAAAATTATCAAACATAAAGAGGGAGAATAGTGTAGAACCCCCATATAGTTATCCTCTCGATGTAACAATTAACACTATTAACATTTTGCCATGCAAATAGTTTGGGTTTTTTTTCCTTCATTTATGTCACTTCTTGTAGCAGGATCCTTTGAGATACAAATAACAAAAGGCCGTGGCTCAAAATGGTTCGATAATAATGTATCACTTCAACTCACAGAATAATTAGCAGGCTCTATTGATGAGCAACTTAACATCATCAAAATGGACTGGGGTTCTTCCCGTCTCTCCCCTCTGCTATCTTCATTATTAGCTTCATCTTGAGGCCGGACAACAGCTCTACAGCAGTTCCGGGCATCGCCCCCTGACATGGCAATATCCACGGGAAGATAAAAGACTGATCATTCTATTGCTTTCCCTCAGGAGCCTCAAACTTTTCATGGAAGAGCCCAGCACCTTTCCATCCGGTCTCAAAAGTCAGAATTAGGTCACATGCCCATTCCTGGCCTAGTATCAGGCAAGGGAAATCAATCAGCCCCACCCATGAGCGGGGTGTCCACATCACAGGGGGAATGTGGCTGTAGAAAGGAGGGGGTACCTGAATATACTCAGTTTCCATCAGAAAGGAGAGTACGTGCTAGGGGACCACCCTGCAGTATCCCCTAAGATCTCTCTCTTCCACTGACAAGTGTATGCAATAGCAACAAGGGACATTTTCCTCCGGAACTTGAACCAGTCTGATTTAGGCATTGGAAAGAACACGAGCTTCCCCCATTTTCTAGCTCCGAGACCTCACTATCCTCTCTCTCCATTTCCTCCTCTAGAAAGGGAGGCGGGTGATGCCCGCCTCCAAATGGTGTGGGGAGGCCTGGGATACGCGCCCCATGAATGTTGGCTCCTGTGCACCTCCTCTGCCATCACAGGCCTCTATTTCCATTCCGCCAGCCAGTTCTTTTTAGCTCTGTCCCATCTCTGTCCCTTCTGCAGATTCAGAAGCATCGCAAGCGGTTAAAGGCAGAAGAGCAGTGGAAGCGACGCCCAAACGTGTTCCGGCGCGGCGTGTCCACACGGCGCTCGGCCTACGCGTTCTCCCACCAGCGGGGCTACGCGGACCTCATCGCCTCGGGGCGCAGCATCCGCAAGAAGCGCGCCCCCCTGGACGCCATCATAGCCGACGGGACTGCGGAATACAGGCGAACTGTAGAGAGCTGACGCACTGGCCTCGAACCGGCCTGCTGCAAAAACAGTCACACAAAGGAAACGTCTATTTTTTTTTTTTTATTCAACTCTCAGGTCTATTTTTTTAAAAAATTGAATTTGTCACAAGGATGTCGAAGATATCATAACCTTGATAACAAAGCTACTCCTTGGGTTGGACTATTAAGCAATAGCGAAGCCAAGAATACCTTTTTTAAAGTCCTGTTATTCAACTGTTTATGTTCATGATGATTCAAAGGGAACATTTTAACCTAGCCTCAATCTAGGATAACAGAATTAGAAAACGTCTTATATTTCAATTCTAATGGTAGTGCATTATGAAATCACAATTAGATTTTCCAGTCTGGGATCTGCAAGGCAAATTTCCCAGAGGCTCCTTTTTTTTTTTTCCTGTAGGCCACCTTTTAACAAAGATCTTTTGTCTATGATGGTAATGACAAAAGATTTGTGAACGTTCGTCACCAGTAAGCTAAGTAGTCCGATGGTTTTTTCAGAGTTGACAGCGGGCTACACTGTTCACGTTCCCATATTGCTCTGATAATTCAGTTCAATCAAGGACTATTACTTCAAATTTCCTAAGTACAAGGTTTCAGTCTGTTTCGGTTTACTATGAGGTTAAAATAGCACATTGCCTACGTTTACTCTTACTCTCAAATATTACGTTAGCCACTTCGTGTAGTACCAGGTGAGTTTATTCCCTACTTTCATTTAAAATGCATTTAAGTATTTATGGGCTTTTTAAAAAAAGTTTTTAAAAAACTGAGTATATCAGTGATAAATTGCAGAATATTTTGCAAAGCTTTCTTTTGAAAAGCAAACTTTGTGCCTGCCTACATGTAAAGTATTTTACAAGGGACTTGAACAGAAACCTCACTCTTTTTCATTTGTGTTATGCCTTGGGAGGAAAGGCTGTTTGTTGGTAGCCACATTTCTAAGACTGAGAGGCAAAAGTTATTTTTCCAGAGACTTTTCTCATTCTGTCTTTCACACAGTCTCCATATTTTAGTGAAGACGTAGACGTGTTTTCAGTAACTCTGTTCTTTTACCATTAGGCTGTAAACGTTCACAACATCTGTCCTATTGAATTCCTATGAGGAAATCTCAGCATGTACATAGTTCATTTTCTAGGTATGATAAAAAGAATGTATGGCTCTTTATGGAAGCAAATTTCTGAAAGTTTACAACTTTATCTTGTAAATAAAAACAATTGTAAGTTGTTTTTGTGTGTAAAGAAAATTTAGTTCGTGTAATTCTGTCAGTTTCAGATTTCTCTCCCGTTTTGCAAATTGTGGGAAAGGTCGACAATGCAAATGTGTCAAAGACTTACATTGCTGGGTGCAATATTAACAATTTTAAAATGCAAATTGCTTTCGATAAATTATTTCTACATTCTGTAAATCTGAGATTTAATGTATATTTTTGTTTAAAAAATAAATGCTTTAGTAAAATCTTTGGAAAGTATAATCTTTTAAAATTTAAGTTGGGATATTTATTTGTTTATTTTAGAGTTGTATATATGACATAAGAATCTAGGCCTGAAAGGTTTCTAAAGGAATTTAGGGGTCCTCTGGTGGTGAGAAATAAATCTAGGGGCAGGGTACTATGTGTCTGGGGAGAAGTGACTGAGAAAAAACGATCAGACTTCAAAGCCAGGCAATATGGATTTAGAGTTGGTAAGATCGATTGTGTCCAGGGAGGGTGCATCTTAGGGTACTTAGATAAGGGACAATTTTTCCAAATGACCTCAACTTTTTGGAACAAGAATAATAGCAAAGGTGACCCTTGACCAAAAGTAGGGGTTGGGAAGTGAGCAAATAAGTCCAGAAATACAAGACGAGAATTGGCAAGAAAACGAGCAAAAAGGGAATTGGTGAGGACAGGGAAGGGCAAGAGAGCAGCAGGTAAGGAGGAAGTGGGAGACCTGAGATTCAGGTTGCGGGGAGCTGAATCTGGGCTTGGAGGCAGCACAGACTGCCGGCTCCTGGACAGTAAGGGAGGTGACATGATGCCACAGAGAAGATGCTACTCTGTGGGAAGACAGATGGGGGCCTTCTTTGGGAAGCATAGTTAGGGGCTGGTGATGAGAGAGTATCAGTCTGGGGGTGCTTTTGAAGGTGGGAAACAGCACACTCCCCCCTTTTGCTATTCCTCAGCTGACAGCCTGCTCCTGGAGCGGAATTTCATGCCCCCATGGGGGGATCCTTTTGAAATGGGGGAGGAGGAGGAGACAGGACAGATGAGCAGTAGCATGAGAAAAAGTTCTGAGCAGACCTGGGAGATAGTCTATAGGAAAAAAAAATTAAAGGCCACTTTTTTCCTGGGATGTACTAATATATGTAAATTGTTTGAGAAATAAATGTTTTTAACCAAAGAGCACCACCTAAAGGTTCTTAACTGATGTTCAGTACCCAAAACTGTTCAGTAATGATATCGAGGGGGATAAAATGGCTCCTAAGAGATTCCAATGGGACAGCAAAACGTACCCAAATGGAATCTAAATACATTCTAACAGTTGGTGCCTTCCTGTGATGCGAATGAAGCTTAAGAAAACTGCGTGACAGCTGCAAAAAGTCCTGTCGGAATCTGTTAGAAAATTATGGCTGCACTACAGATTTTGCACTCCAAATTCACCCTTCTACAGATCAAATTTTTCCACAGAAATGTTTCCTTAATCTTTGTAATAAAAATAAATCCAATCGCAGCATCAATCACCACTCCAGAATCTGAAACAACCGTGATCTCCCCACTGGCTATATGTTGGGGAAACAAGTATCCTTTCTCTTTCAGAGCTAAAGAGAGTTCCATCTCTCATTTAATCAGCAAAGATTTTGTTCAGACTCTCAGTAAGCAATGCAATTAAAAAGCCAAAATTGAAAGTAGCAACCCATTTTTTTTTCCCTTTCCCTGGTTTATCTCAACCCTTATCCACTTTAAAGATTGTCTAGCAACACGTCAGATAAAGTCAAGGTCTGCTACTTAAAGCAAGGAGACCTGGAATTCCAAGAGAAGACTCACCCACGTTCACGTGATCCGAGGTGGAGAGCCATTGGAGCACAATTGGCCCCTGATGGTACTGGGTCTGTGAGGTGGTCCTGGGTGGGCTTCTTCAGAATCCTGCCATACCACACCAGGTAACTGTAACACATAATGTCATGATATAATGACAAGAGGGGTCAATCCATCAAGAAGATGTGACAACTGTAAATAGTTAAGCACCCAAGTATTGGAGTACCTGAAAATATAAAGCTACAACTAACAGAACTAAAAGAAGAAACAAACAGCTATATGATAGTTGGGGACTTTAGTACCCCACTCTCAACAATGGACAAACCACCCAGATATAGAATCAGTAAGGAAACAGCAGATTTGAACAATATGAACCAAAGGGACCTACAGACAAATATAGAACATTCTATCCAACAGCAGAGTACACAAGCTTTTCAAATGCACATGGAACATATTCTAGGATAGATCGTATGTGAGGCCACAAAACAAGTCTTAGCAAATTCAAGAAGACTGAAGTCATACCCTGTATCTTCTCTCACCACAGTGGTATAAAATTAGAAATCATTAACAGGAGGAAAACTGGAAAATTCACGAATATGTGAAAATTAAAAACTCCCTCAACAATCAACGGATCAAAGAAGAAATTAAAGAGGAGGGGGAGTCTCGAGACAAATGAAAATGGAAACATAACATCTCAAAACTTATGGGATGCAGCAAAAGCAGTTTGAAGAGGAAATTTCACAAGCAATAAATGCCTACATTAATTATCAAGAAAGATGGGCGGCCGGATGGCGAGTGGACTTGGAGCTGAGCTGGCTGCACCCTCCACAACTAAGACCGAAGGACAACAACTTGGCTGTTCCCCTTCCCCAATTCCCCAATAAAA